TTGCCGCATTAGCTATTTGCGGGCGATTGCATAAAAAGGCTAACATTTTACATGTTGTCACAAATACAAGAAACTTACGATTACAGAACATGAATATGAGACGAAACTTGTACAATGATAAGATCTTAACAAACCTTTAGCACCCCTAGCACGAACCATTATCGAATTCGAATAGTTTGCAAACCGAAATGTCAATGTCAAATTTTGTATGGAAACTTGAACAGCAGCGGCACAAAGTACGTAATGAGAACTAAAAATCAGTACACATTTGACAATGACATTTCGGACTCGCAAACGATACGAATTCGATATTGGTTCGTGCTAGAGGTACAGGTAAATAAGTTCCATTTATAATAGAGAATAATCAAGAGCTGTCAATAAATAAGTATAGCTTGATGGAAAACCTATTTGAAATATTGAATGTAATTTCTTATTACAATATCCCAGTTATTTAGTAAGGCGCCTGGCGACCCCAATGGCGACACAGCGACTGGAATTCACCGGCACCAGCGTATCTGGATCGCCCACGGCCAAGCTTGGCCCATTCATAAATATCGGCAGGCCATTACGCAATTAAGATTAGCGTTAATGTTTTAAGCTTTCTCATGAACATATCACTAAATCCACGGCTGACTTGAAAAGTAGGATTGTTGATGAGGCGTGTGAAAACTCTTGAGATGTAAATTGTGACTTAGGCTATATGCATCTGCCATTACAAACACCAAACTAAAGCAACTTAAGCGCGTTTGCCTGCCTTTCATTTGTTATGCCCGCCCTATTACTTTTTGTTAAAATTTCTTTAGCTGTTTTATTTTTGAGTGTGTATACTGTTGGTCGCAGATGACCTTTACAGAGTCATCGGGTTTGGGGACGGCGAGATCCTAATGAGACCTCAAGCTGAAAATTGGCGAGTGCCTCTAGAGCAATGGTTCCCAACCAGTGGTCCGTGGACCACCAGTGGTCCGCAGAAGCCAAAATATGGTCCGCGAATGAATTTGAAATTAGCGGGCGTGCCCGCTAAAAATGTTATTATTTCTTTTTATTTCATTTCATATGAGATTTTTAATTAAAGTTTCAGTTTGATTATTACAGGTTATTTTTATTACACTAAAATTTAGTTATTTAGTGACTAAACAGTGGTCTGTGCCAAAAAAAAATATGTAATAGTGGTCCCTGACCAATAAAACCTTGGGAACCCCTGCTCTAGAGGTATTCCAGGCGGATGGCAACTCCCACACGGGGTGAGTCTCCTCTCCGTCTGGAGCCTCTAGACCACTCGAACCTGAGGGGTCGGTTGAACAAGAGGGCGTCTCTAAGACTCGAACCTCGGCTCTAGTTAGCCGTTATCGTGGGGAGCGGGGAAAAACGCCCAGGTACGTACCTGTACCTAGTATAGCGTGTCGTGTGTAGACTGGGTCTTCGCACTCTTATCCTACGGGTGCGGTGTCTGCCTAATGCTAAGCTAGTATGCAAGTATGCTAGCTGTGTAGTGTTGGTGCGTGTGGCCTATGTGGGAGGAGTCTGTCCTAGACGTTCGGCTATATAAAAGACTCGGGTATGGTGGGAGTACTTTACAAGGTGCAAGGGTGCCCCCTCATATTATTCTGTGGCGCTTGAGTAAATCTCAATATCCCCGCTTGGACTACTATAAAGTTAGTTCCAAACTTTATTCATTCCGAATAAAACCTACGATCTCAGAAATGACAAGGTTAAGCCCGGTGCAAGGTCTGGCGCTATCGCTTCTCCACTACGGAAGTCATATAATATGGAATAATACGTTAAATCTTACAAATCACGTCATTTCATAACATATAGTTTATCAGTATATTTACTACAACCGTGACTCATACAATCTATACCAGAATACTATCCGCCGTCAACGTTATCAGCGATCTTTCGAAATTGAACTTGTTTTAATTCCGCACACCATTAATGCTCCAGATAAGTGTGGGCAGTGAATTATGTTCGCATTCGAATTATTGCTTGCGTCACACAGTTTGAGCACATATCGATTCTTCGCTTGTCTCATACTTTCTCTAAAGGAGCTGTTATCGTTTTTAGACGTTTGAGTAAACTTTAAAAAAAATCCGACTATTTCTAACTTACTTTACCTTTTATACTTTACCTATCTAACGAATTGTTTTTGCACTTAAAATAAGTAGTTATTTTAGTAGACCCATAAAAGGGCATTAAATTATATCATCCGATCAACAGATAACTTAGCGAAGCATCGGACATTATACTATCTGTAATTTCATGACACTACGTATGTAATCTAATATTTACTATAGGCCTGATAATATTTTCTCTAGCTCCAGGGATCTAGAGAAAATATTCTGTCTGTTTGTTTAGGTTGATCACAAAAACTATTGAATAGATTTTCATTCCGTTAGCATCATCTGTTAATTAATCATCATAAAATCAATGTTTTATCGAAGCTTTTTTATACCTTTGTATAGCAATACATTGAAGCGAACGAGCGTAAATCACTATATATTTTATACATTAATAGTTTTAATCACTATGTAATAATATTTGTTATCTTGTTAATTTATGACTTTATTTCGCAACATACGATCAAATTAAGGAATTCCTGACCCATTTGCCCGATAATTCGCTTAAAAGCGTCAAAACAGACAACTTTTCCTTTGAAGAATACGCGTTATTGCACTTAGGACCTTCTAGAAATAAGGGAACTGTTTCAATATAGATCAAACATAAATATCTGAAATTTGGCCTTTATTTTAAATGCAATTATGTTTGATAAAATTGAAATAGTAGTGTGAATTTCGAAATCTCTTTTAAAATCGTAAATGAAACAGAAATTCTTTTGATTTCTGGACATTATAAAAACATTGGTGAACTAATAGGGAGATTCTTAGCTCATGGGCAAAACTTCAAATATAATGTCAAAATTATGTCACAGGAAGTCGGCGAAATCTGTCACGTTAAAATTATGATTGTTTCGAAAATAACCAGTTTATTTCCAGGGGCACGTACAATTAAGCTAAATTAAAATGCTTGTAATAAAATAAGCTTATGGTGGGTCAGGAATCAAATTACCCAATCTTCATAGAGAAACACGGCTGTGTTGCTCTATACTGATCGTACATACAGGAAGCACTTATTATTTTGCATAGATTTAAAATCTTTGTAATTTCTCTAATATTTTACTCGCTATATTTTGACTATCGACTTCTTGACAGTGAATGAATGAAATTATCACCGTAATTATCAATTTTATGTTCTTGTTTTTTTAATTAAATGACCTTCAGTTTATTTGAGTTTATCAAAAATAACATTTTTGTAGTGCAGATATACGTTTATCAGTAGATTTGCCATTCAGAACTTTTATTAAGTTTGGTTAAACAAGACGAGACTCAGACTTCCCTGTTCGAAAACTCGCTTAAGTGAACCTTCTACTTTGGACCTAAACTTAGGCCCGGATTATAGAAAGATTCTCAGTGATTGATCTAGTCTTGAGCATAGTTAGAAAGTGATGTCGCTATATATAGCACATAGCGATATCCCTTTCTAACTGTACTCAAGTAAAGATCAACTCTTAGTTGTCATTCTGTATTACGGGCCTTAGACCGCCAATCCGAAACTACAGCTATATGGATATTTGGGTGATGGCATTCCACGCATTCCACATGCTGGGAATGTGGTACCCCTAGCACGAATTCAAATAGTTTGCAAGTGCGAAATGGTACAGATAGCATTTCATTGATATTCAGGATGAACAGTGTCCGGGGGAGCACCGATCTTTGTGGAACCCATGTTTAGAGTCCAGCAATTATAGTTATGGGTACAGAGCAGCATTCACAGACAACGTCTTTAATGCCCCTGTAGTCTAAGACGCTGGATATGCAATTGTGAAGCCGCGCAGGTATCCCCAAAGATGGCAATTTGGATAAAAGTGCTCTATGCCAAATTCTATCAAATACCTTGGCGATATTTACCCTTGCTTTTGACATCGTCAGCCCAGTGGTGAGTGAAAAAAACAAGAAGATCACCAGCCGAACGACAGTGACGGAAACCGTATTGTCGGTCGATAAATAGTTGATGCTCCCCAAAGGTACAAGGCAAGATAGATATTAATAAAAATAAATAAAAAAAGATTTTTAAACAAGCTTTAATTTTTTGTTAATAAAAAGAACTTTTTTTTTTATTTCTCATGCCAACAAAATTAAATACGCTTATATAAAAAAGGGATGTTTTGTACCTGTAAAATGGTACCTATATTTTTTATCAGACTTTAATTATTTTTAACTTTTAAGTTATTTTTATTAACAAGCAATCAAAGATTGTTTAAAAAAATATTTTAAAAGATTGTTTTAAAATGAAAAGTGAAATGTCAGTTGATTTATTTTCGAAACCAGTCGGCCAAAAGTGATGCGTATTCGAAAAACATATTAATAATAGAGAACTAATTAACTGTTAGTAAAAATAGTAACAAAATAAATTGCGCCAAGCAACAAGCAACTCTGGCTTAGCACTTAAAATTTAAAAAAAATCTCTTCAATACTATGCAATTTTATAACCCTTTAAAAAAAAGACCCTGGAATTAATTTGTGATTTTCTAACTGTTGTGGTTATTATGAGCATAAATAATATTTACGGGCACATGATGCCGTATAAATTTGTTCATAAGTAGTGAAGCCATAAAATAAATCAAAGAGACAATAACCTAAGGCGCGAGTTGACAGCGTTGGATCTATTTACAATGCCCGTACGATTTTATGAGGATACTCCGATATCGTAAATCATAATTAATACTAAGCACGACACTAAGACTTTTACAGCCAACAGTGGATCTACCAGTACTGTAAGAAATACACAGCAATCAATTTCAGTTAAACTAGCATAATATGCTGACTTTACGACTTTGATTTGTATTTAAACGCGCGCCAATAAACAGTAATAAAATCTGGTTACAGGCACGCTGTGTAGATAGCTTATAATTGTAATTTGAATCTGAACACATGTTCTGTACTTACATCGCGGGCAACAGCAGAAGTGGTCCTCGAAACAGCATGATGCTTGCAGATATCACATTCACACACAACAAAATACGGCTACTGAATGTCGGTTTTATTTATGGGTATTATCACTGAATCCCGCCACAGACTTAGTAACAGTTGATCAACTTCTGGTGCTTGGTAGGTTCGTGTATCAGTCATATTTGCTGTTTTTTTTTTCAATGCTCAGCTCATCTTGCACTGTCCTGAGACCTGCGAAGAAAGGAAATGGGAAAATTATTCATACTGTAGTACACTTAATGCAAAAATAACGAGAGCACCGAAGCCGACAATTAATTTGTAGGACCGATGTGGCGCCGGGAGCGGAACGTTCTGTTTTTATGATGCATTTGTTTATTAAGTTTTCTTATAAATACTGGCATGCGTTATTAAGAAAACATTTAAACAAAGCTAATGTCACATTATGTAAAACAGCGCTCATACCTACGTTTGATTCTCATATTTGCTTTTTTTATTTATTAAACTTGCCCATTCTGTTAGCAGTTTGCTTAAATTGGATTTTTGATAGCCATCCATTTTTAATAGGATTAGGCATACCTATTAAGTTTTTCTTTTAAAAATATTTAGGCGTAGCTACCTAAAATAATAAATCTCGTTTAAAGATTCAAGTCTCCAACAACCAAATCATGTAATTTGTGTACGCGTGCTCTGCTCGGACTAAAATAGAATAAAAATCTCGACAACCGCCAATGATCGATCAATTTCTGACGTAAAACAAATAACTCAGCCTATAAATCGTGCCTCTATCTAACTGAAGCACACAGCTTCCCACACAAGCTTTGATGAGTATGATATACCCCTAAAGTCTGCGGCACAGGATTTAAATTCGATTGATTCATATGTTCGCAAACCGATACTAGTAGATATTAGCATTTTTACTGTGATTGTATTACGGGTAAATTATTTACACTACTCATTTTTTTGTTTCGTAGAGTTTTAATGCATGAGGATTTGCCATGCTACACATTTCGCTAGTATGGCAATATCTCATTTTTTGTGGTTATCTTAGTCGGTTTTTGTTATATAGGGCGTCCCACGGGTTTGTCACATGGAGGGAAAGTATAGTTATTAAATATTGAACATAGGATATTTTACTGAAAGAATACATCATTTTATTTTTAGTAATAACTGGAATTGCATTCACAGTTTTTTTTTAAATCTTTGCTACAACTGGGAATCAAACTCGTGAAATTTTAAAAACAACACACATGCCGTATTTTATGATAACCATCGAAAGGGTAAATCATTACGATAATTATTTTCTAAATTATATAGCATTTTAAATGAAAGGACGATCAATAAATAAAAAAATTGTACAAGAAAATTTCCTCTTACTTTTCCGCGCTTCCAAAAGCTAATGTCATAATTTCAAAGTATTTACTCTAACTGGTACCTTCTTACTTAATAATACAAGATTTCCTTGTTTATAATAAGGTTTTTATATTGATTATTATAATATTTTTTTCACGTACTTAGAAAATTAATAAAGCGATACTTATACAAACCTTGCATCGTTTCTTTGTTATTGTAGTTTGTGTTAAATTATTTCATAAAAAGACAAATTTCGTGATTATTCTTTTATTTAAAATGCTATGTTATTGAGGAAAAAATAATGCTCATGATAAAAACTTTCGACGGTTATCTAAAAATACATGTTTTTTTTTGTTTCACATTTCACGAGTTTGATTCCCGGTTGTAGCAGGCGATTTTTTAAAAACTGTGAATGCAGTTCTACTTATTATTAAAAATAAAATTATGTCTTCTTTCAGTAAAATATCTAGCTTCAATGTTTAATATACTTTCCCTCCGTGTGACAAACCCGTGGGTGCCCTGTATATTGTCCATCGAAACGATATTTCATTTAATATTTTCAAAAGAAATAGCCTATCCCTTGTTTAACAATGGACTAATCATACACGAAAATTGTACTAGCTTAGATTGCCTATCTAAATCGAGCAATAAAAAAATCTATGATGATAAATGTGTAACTACTCATTGAGAATAAAAATCTAATCGACACACCTCCAATGATTCAACAGTCATTACATTCAATGTACGTGATCCTCCGATAGTGGATGATAAAATACATGCGCAAGCATGTAAGTAGCTACTGGTTACAAGAACATAATTAGGCGTTACCTTTATAGTGCTCCACAAATTGAATGTAACTTACAAGATCACTGCCAGCACTTCAAATTACATCATTGTTATTTATATAAACATTCTTCAGTCTTATGTTTCATACATCAATCGCATTAGCTAAAGCATTACATGCGTCTACGCTGAGATGTCTACCTTGGTTAGGACCGCTGCTGGTAGTAATTTAGTCTTTGTGAGATGGAGATAAGATATACATAATAGCTGTCTAAAGATATAGGATAAGGGACTAGTACGTCGCGCGTTGGTCGGACATCGGCCAGACGATCCCTACTGACAGGTGAGACACCTGCTAACTTAGTGCCAGTGTGAATAACTATTTCTGGACACCCCAGCCTCCGTTAGTGTGTGGTTGGAATTTCTGGGTGGTCAGTTTAATTCCGATTCGCATTATCCATTAGATAGTATAAACAAGTTACGTAATACTATAGTACCGAATAGACTCTAGCGTGGAATACGGGCAAATGTTAATTTAAGCCCATAGATAAATGATTTGTAGACCAATCATTTATCTATGTTTCAGACATACAATATTCGGAATATTTAAAAACCAAATTTTTGTTTATAGCTTTGATAAAAATGCCATTTGAATTAGTTTATATATCTTAGGAGCCTCCCACACATTATAACTATGTAAATCAGTCAATATGAATGTATACTAATAGATGTTAGTTATAATGATGAAATTAATACTAGAGGCACTGTAGTATTATTTGTAATTTTCATTTCGGCCACTATACTTGGAGTATTTTTTTATTACCAAAACATAATTACTTAAGAGAAGTGAGTGGAGTTTTGGTCAGTGCATCCCGATAACTTTCACCTGATATACCATATAACTCAATTTATCTGGTTCCCAATCAAAAAGATAGAACAAGGCATTTAACTCCCGTAACTCGACCTCTAGGCTATACAACAAATCAATACTTCTGACGTTTCAATTAGTATATTGACACGTTTTTAATCTTCTCCCATTGTTTATATGTTCGGAAGCTACATGGAGTTTGTCATAATAAATTTCATAGTTCCGACATGCATGTTAGGTACACGTTTCAACTGCATAATGACTATAAATCTTTCTGTCTATCTGTCACTCTCGTTCCTCTTTTTATTTTACTGACATATGTATCAACACCGCGTCGTCGTGTTACTAAATTAATCTTGTAACGTTTACATCATACAAATCATTTTCTAATTCTTTGAACCCTCAGTTTGTGTTTCAACAGGTTGATTCAATTATTCATTTTTATTATTAACTCGATTAAGTGATTTATTGTTTTTTTGAGTAAGTGATTTAATTCTTTTATGATTTATAGTTTCAAATTATGAGTAGTTGAAATAACTTCTTTGGACTAATAAATGTAGACATTTTCGATTGCCATATCGAATTACTAAATCTTTGTAATAGAAATAACATCAAAATAATGATGACAACTTATTAATAGATAAACTTACGTACCTCTACGTAAACTCTTAACAGTAAGCATTATTCATAATACATCTGTTTAAATATGAAGTGCCATGAACCAATTTACATGGTACCTAAGTATTTATTTTAAGGGCATATTTACGAAAGCTGTTATTGGGACATTCTTTGCCTTGAATAGATAATGGCATCTATGGTGGACAAATGAATTTATTAGTTTTATTTGTCTTATATCTTGATATCTTGTGAATACATTATCGTACGAACATAATAAATTAAGCTATTGGAAAGAGCAAAAAGTAAAACACATTAATCCTCAGAAACTTTTTCTATTGTAATGTAAGAATAGGTGAATTAAATTTCAGGATAGAATAAAATTTTATACAGTTCATTGTTGTTGAATAATTATGAAGCCACGCGTGAATATTTGCATATGGCTTTTATTCTAAGTGTGTCAGTGTATCATTGACCGATTACTAGTAGTACAGCTATGATTACTCATTAGGTAACTTCTTATCGCTTTTGTAATATTTTCTTGACAACCTTTGCTTTCGTAAATAAGCCGAGTTTTCTTCGTTATCTCTTGAAATAGATGTTCAGGAGTTTTATTTTGTATTTAACATTGCAAGTGATGAAAATTGTCCCCTGAGATAATTAAGCAAGTCTTTCTATATTATAATAAATTCACACATTATACAAAGCTCCTAAGTAACCCTGTAAAAGTAGTCCTGTGGGATGCGTTATGGGATACAAGGGTAATGGAATGACTGGAGTACAAATACTCGTATTCATCACACAAACATCTGCTCACACAGGGATTCGAAGCCGGGACCTCTTGAGTAGGCGACACCTTGAAACCCGGCGTACATACCACTCGGCCACGGAGGTCGTCGATATTATTCTTTGTAGGTTCTTAATATAAGTACCTACCTATAGTAAAAGTTAATGAAGGTATACCACAAAGAAGAACGTTAAAACTATTAGGAATTTCCTTAATGTTTATATTCCATAAAATATTTTCAAAATATGTTAATGTACTTACTTACCAAGCTTTAAATTGACACTGATCCAATTAATTCTTAATTAATGTGAAGACATAGCTTTTCCATTTAAAGTCAAGGTAGGTAAACGCAAAGTGATTCTATCGATCAAAAAATAAGTTAACATTCATAAAAATGGAGTAGGTATGTATAATTTATTAATTCATCTGTAAATTCTACCATTTGTAAAAAAAAATATTAAACTTTTCAGATGTTTTAATTATGTTAATTAGCAGCACTTACGGATATAGCAAACACAGTTCCATTCAAGTCTGTCGTAAGAAATACAATTCCCTGAGATAAAGCGACCGAAACTGGGTTATCGTGTGCTATACTCATCTCGGTTGTAAACATATATGGGTCGGCTTAAAATTATTTTTTAAAACGTTTTTGAACGGATGCTAAGCGAGTTTTTATTAGGATATATTAACTATTCTTGACGTATTGGTCCTTTACAATTAAGCAATATTGCGACCACGGAACCTGTAAGGGGTCCAAAATGTTGGGAGAAATGTAAAAACTATAAAAAAAAGCTCTTTATATAGTGTTTGTCTAACTATTGGTGTGCG